TAACCCCATTGATGTACAACAATGCTGTGTTACGTAACCTGGGCTGAAACATTTTTGCCATCCGAAAATATTGAAAAATAAGTGTTACACTGTCGGATAATTAACTTGACTAATGTACTTTTATACATGCTGGAATTCTTGTAACACATTCTTTGGACGTGGAACACACATTTGCATCATACAGCCCAGGCTACATTACACATGTATTAAATGGGCCGGTGTATTTCTGACAGATGCTATTTTTACCGCAGTTGGATGTCGGACAAATATATCAGCTTCGTCCAAAGTCAACTTTCCAAAAGCAAAGAAAGATGTTACCATTGATCGAATTCTTAATTGTTGTGTCCAATATGCATTTACATCGTTCTGACAGACATACGTCTAATTGGTTCCTATTGCTCAAATATACGTGCTCAATTGGCCTAGTCATTCCTGTTTGGTCAACAAAACATTTCGTTTCATTTCATTTCATATCATTTATTGTTCCCTTAAAGCGCCCGTAGGGCTTTACATAAGGGGGGGCTTTGACAGCAAAGAAAAACAAAGAAAGGAAAAACACAGGGTTAAAGGTTGCTAAATATCGAGAAAAGTAGCAAGTGCAGCTCTGAATCCAGATGAGTCTTGAATTGTAACAATATGTTCTGGCAGAGAGTTCCGTTCTGAAAGTGATAATTGCAGTGGAGAGAATTTAAAAAGGTTGGTCCTTGGTGTTACCAGATGAACTTTTTGAGAGTGGTCTGTACGAGGAGAAATGTGATGAGTCGCAGGACAGTACAATTCTCTCTTTAAAGGGGCCTGATAATACAAAGCGTGTAATGAAACTAGTCTGGTCAGTTTCCTTCTTTCCGCGAGCAGTGAAAGGCCGAGTTCTTTTTGAGCGTAGTAATGCTAGTGTGTGTATAGTTTTTAAGAATGAACCTGACTGATAAAAATTCATAATCGTCTGATAAAGTCCCTATGGGAGACCAAAAGGTATGCCTATTGGCATTCCTATTCCTCTTTTATTTTTATGTGTATTGAATTGAAACGAAATGACAGCTCAGAGTTAGTTAATCAGCCTATAGTGTATTTTGTATTGTTCTTATTGGTTTTTATTCTGTGGAAACTTTGGATTATGTTTCAGTGAGATTCTGTGAGAGCTGGTTTGAAGTTTTGCGCAGTATTGGGTCAACAGTTGCTACTTATAAATGTTTTGAAAAATGTTCTAAGCAGCACTCTGTATTTGTAATATTAAACAGCAGTGCCTCCCAAACTGTGAGGCGCGAACCCCAGGCGTATCGTGACTGATCTAGCGGAGTGTCGCAAAACAACTGCTGGCTTGTTTCTTTCTTTTCTTTTTTTTTTTTTTCAATGGTTTTAAATTTGTTAAAATTACCTGTATTTCATGAGAAACTAAATTTCAGAGTCAATTTCAATATGTTACTGCTTATGCACTGAGATGGTTAGACTTGTGGTCTAGTCAAATTCAAATGGAGGAGAAAGCGGGGTCGTGGCAGGATATATTTTATATCTTAGTGGATTGCACGCGTATACGTTTGAGAGCAGATGCCGTATATTGAGTCATTACGTCTATCGCTGTGTTGCTTTGATCGTCCGAGACAGTGTGCTAGTTGAGAATGGGAATAATTGAATATGTTTTGATTTCATAGAAGGGCTAATAAATGGTTAATAAATATGAGAAGTTATTGAATTGCAATTTCGAACCTGACTTTACTTGAGGAGGATGTCTTCTGAAGACCAGGCAATCTGCATTTATGATTATCTTCACCTTTGCCTTTGTCGAATTCCTTCACTGTGGAGCAGCTGATGTCTATTGGGTGCCTTATGGTAGAGCTCACTTGAGTGTCTATGGATAAACTGAAAAGAACGGATATTGCATTCTTAATGATAATACTCGTTTGCATGAGTAATCAGTACAAAAAGAATGAATATTGACTGGGTAACAATAAAATTCGTTGAAATTAGCAATGAGAAAGCTCAAAAGAATGGATATTGAGTCGGCAACAATAAAACTCATTGCAATTTGTAATGAGTAAACTCAAAATAATGGAAATTGTGTTCTCAGTGATAACACTCATTTCAATGTGTAATGAGTAAACTCAAAAGAACTGATATTGATTGGGTAACGATAAACCTCACTTGAATTTGTAATGAGTAAATTCAAGAGAATAGATATTGAGTGGACCCTTATAAAAATGAACAATGAGTTTCAATTGAGCATTTAATGTGTTTTTATAGAGTCAAATGAAACTCATCGTTAAATGAGTTTTATCATTACCCACTCCATATCTATTCCTTTGAATTTACTCATTACAAATTCAAGTGAGGTCTATCGCTACCCAATCAATAGCAATTCTTTTGAGTTTATTTATTACACATTCAAATGAGTGTTATCAAAAAAAAAAAAAAGAATCTACTCCCTACTGCATTGCACTCGAAACAAATAGCGCGTCGGTGCTAGTTCTGATATACAGATTTAATTCCTGTGCTTAAAATAATAACGGTATTTACCCTCTTTTACTCCTAAAGGCTTATTCACACGATGCCTCTTTTTAACGCGCCACAGTTTAGCGAAACCAAGATTTCGCGAAATCGGCCTGTTCACACGTGGGGTTTGACGCGCGAAACCTGTGACGTAATGACTCACGAGAATTTCGCCAAGCCTTGTCATCTGCACCGGGTATACCAAGCGTTTCGCATCAAAATGATATGAAGTACGCACAGCGTGAAGAGACAGCCTGTTTTATTAATGCCACTCAATGAATTTCGTCAGAATCGGCTCACTGGGTTTACTAGTCCTGCCAAACCCGGGAAAAACCGCGAGATGATCTCGAAGCATTTCGGACATTTTTGCACCGCTAATAAAGAACGTTATCCCCAGTCATCATGTTTATATACGGTCCTTGCACCCGCCGCGACTGTTGACGAATCTGCACCGCGCCCCCAATCCGTACAGAAAACGCCGTTCACACACCTGCAACCGAGTATGACCAGGACCCATCGCCCGTACGCACCGCTTCCCCGCTTGTCGCTCGTCATGTTTGTTTGTTTTCTTTCGGCTTCGGCTCGGATATGGAATCGGCCGAAAATCAGACTCCTCCAAAAGCTCGCTCGTCCTCGAAGGTCAGACGTCATAGCGAAGTCGAGCGGCCATTGGCAGCGTCCGCGTTTCTCCTTCGGGTGATTGACGGGCGTCGGTGAGGTTTCAGCGAAAAAGTGCTCCAGAAGCGAAAACACGCGCCACTTTTTTCGGAGGCGCGCCACTTTTTCGGTCGCGTTCAGACGGGGAATCTGTTTCCCGAAACCTAGTTTCGCGACACAAGATTCGCCAACAAGATAGTTACGCCGCCCCTCTATTGCGATTTGATCAGTTTCGGTTTCAGTATTGTAACTTTTTCTGGTTTCGGTTTCATATTTTAAGGATCGCGTCTTCGACGCCCTATCGGTAGCGACAACACTTCTTTGTTTTTTGAGTAAAGCTATACGCACTCCGGAGTGCACTTCGTACGAAAATGGCTATACGCACTCCTCCGAGAGATCATGCCGCTCGGGCCACCCTTTTCGAAAGGCGCGTGTATCACTGGGGAGCTCGTTAACACAGCCCCCCGCCTGCGTTCACGCCGCTTCGCGGCGACAGTATCGGCTGCTAATTACAAAACGTAACCAGTACACGCACTCATAAATATCGCCAAATGCCTCGATAAACCAAAATGTTCGAGAAAAAAAAGAAAAAAAAAAAAGCAGGACCACCGCGGATCGAACCCGTGACCACTTGCGTAAAAATTAGACACCTTCCCCCCTATGCTACGCCATTGCTTAGAAAACTCGATTTCACCATTCGTTTTATACGAGATACTTCGGTTGCAAATGCAGTTAAGACTTCAGCATGTTATGCAAAGCACTCGTACATCACTCGCCGTACTTCAGCTCTACTCACCTGCCATGAAGAGTTCTTTCGCGCCGTAGAACGATCCTTTTGTTCGCGCGCCTCCCGCCCAGTAGACCTGGTACACCTTGTCGTGTTCAACTACACCGCTAAAGTCCCTTACATCGTCGGAACTCACAACAGGCTGGGTCTTGTCGAATAGAAATTCTACTAAAACATATGACATTGTAGAGCCCGGGCGGGATCGACAGGTTGGAGCAAGCGGGCAAACAAAACGAGTCGAGAGCGATCTTTCATGAAAGCTCGGCGAAGCCTCTATGGACGAAGCGAAGTGGTGTTTTCGGCGTTTCGGCGGGCTTCTGATCAAGGTTGTCGGTCGGCTGCGTGTCATATCTCTAACATCATCGGCTTTATGGGCTCACGTCCCGAAATCGTTTTCTTGTGCATAGATTATTTTTCGTATTCATAGATTTGACGAAATGGTGGTATCCCGTACGAAAATGTCAGATGGGAGCGGTCCCAGTTTGGGTCCGCGGAGTTCTGAACTTCTGGACAGTTCCGATCAGCGCGATTCTGGGCGTAACCAGTCGAATCCAGTGAGACGCAACGCACTGGAATCGCACGGTGATCGGTGAATCTGATCCGCTCCCCTTGTTCCAGTAGGGTCTGCTCCCAGCCAGCGGCTCCAAGCCAGCGGGCGCGCAAACTGTGGGCGCGCATATGCGTGACTGGAGGAGGGGAGGGAGGGGGGGGATGGCGGAGAACTTTCGCCACTTTCGCGGTCTCTCGCGTGTCACGTGTTAGGGACAGGCGCCTCCGCTGCATCCACTACGCGCATAGAGTAATATAGTAAACGTAAAGAGAGGACACTGAAGCCGATTCGCGGCCCAGATAGTAGGATTCATACCCTCCGCTACGTGGCGCTTTTCCGTAATTTGGTTAATATTAATTACAGCTTTCTCTCTGAAAAGTATTTATTTTCTAAATTTTTATGCTTTAGAGTTTTTTAAAGTACTTAAAACGACTAAATAGTGTTAATCAAATACGTCACAAAAACCACGTGATGAATGGCGCCTGCCATGGCCTGTCTGCTTGCACGCCGTCACCTCTGCTCGTCCGTGCGGTCCGTGCTTCGTTCGTCCGTGCCGTACCGTCCGTGCCGTCCGTGCCGTTCTTCTCCGTTTTATGCTACAGCGTGTTCGGTCGACTTTGCTTGAAACAAAGTGACGAATGACCGCCGCGTGCTCTCATGCTCGGCGTGAGTTTGTAGAGCTGAGCGGCTTGATATGGCTTGAGCTTCTCGTGTTTCCGTCGGGCTGCCTGGACCTAGATTTTTAAACAAAAGGTAAGTCGTTTTGCTCATTTGTCTCTCGACTGTGTTGTAAAGCTGGCTTTTGAATTTGCTGAGTCTGGGTTGCCGTCCGACGCCCCTCGGGCAGAGCTTTGTTCATGCGTGTTCAAGTGCCATCAGACATCTGTGGATTGCTGTTGAGAGGACTTATGCCGTCATAGATTGAAGTTAATTCACTGACTAAAGCTGGGTCGACAGTCGTTCGCAGTGCGACGAATTCGGGGCAAGGTGTCCATTGAGTCATATTGATATTTTGACATGCATTTTTTCAATGGCGCGTCGCTGCTTTGATTTATCACATAAAGTACGTGCAAAAGAAGCGAACCAGCGAACGTCGCTCAAGCGAGCTACATGACTTGTGTGTACCGCCATACGAGCTGCAGTATGCTGCAGTTACGACGACAAACACATGCATAGAATTTCGGGGGAAAAAACTGCGAGACGCAGTATCAAATTTAGATATTTAATAAAGTTCCCAAGCAGCATATATATCCTATGGACGTCCACGGGACATCCAGGATAGGACATCCATGGAACTTTCGGACACTCTGAGAATGTACGGAGGACTATTCAAACATGGTTCCCACTACATCGCTACATCACCAAATGGAGCTCGAAATTTAGGTCTATGGTTCGCTGACATTATTTTCTATGTAAGAAAGCAAAATTCAAAATATTGACGGCCAATTTACCAGAAACAGTAGAGGTAGATTAGTCTTACTTATTTTGGCCGTACCGCTGTACTATGCTTAAATTCCTGTTTTACTCTTAAGGATGACATTCGAACGTTGGGTAAAACCAGTCAGACGTCACTTGAACACTTGGTTGGAGTGCTGTGGCATGGCACTCTAGACACTGCGTTCGATTATGATGCATGAAGATTGCGTAAACTTCACAAACTTCACAATATTTCTTTCACCCGTCTGTGTTAATACGTGTCATGGGTTTATTGTAACATTGCGTCATGGCAATATCTTGTGACATTGTTTAAATCTCCATCAGTTTATTTTTTCACCAGCCGCTATTGTGCTACCTTCCGTTGAACTAAAGGAACGCGCCATTGGCTAGGCTTCAGTAGATGTTAAACTCTCCCTCCCCCGCTGGCCCAGATTATGTCCTACGGAAGTTACTGCTGCGTGGTCTGGTGTGCCAACAATGGGAAAACAAAGAAGCCACATGTCAAGTTTTTTCGAATTCCACGTGACCCAAGGTACGTATAGATTCTAAGGCAGTCCTTACAACATTTGATCGAAGCATAACATTTTGATATGAGAACTATGGTCCGTTGCAACCTAAGAACGAAGGGCGAGGGTAAGACGGGCCGGGGAGGAGGAAGCAGACGGAACACGAAACGCTAAGGAGAGAAGGAGGTTTCCCCTTTCTTCTCCAGCGTTCCATCTGCTCCCTCCTCCCCGGCCCGTCTTACCCTCGCCCTTCGGTCTTAGGTTGCAACAAACTATAGCAAAAACGATTTCTTCCATGTCACTTTGGTTTATGGACACCAATATATTTCAGCATTTTAAGGTTATCTTGCCTGGGGCCTAAATTGATTGCATACCCTGGTGGGTATGCAATCTGTTTGTTTAGCTGTATTGCACTGTACAGTAGCATGAAGAAGAAAAACAAACTCTTCAGAACGTGAACACTTTGCTGAGAGGTGCCATACCAAACGGCAGTGAAACATTAAACACAATTGAGGCTCATATATTTGGAGTTTATTTACCCTTACAGTATGTGTAACCTTGGTGGTATATACAATGTTCTGCAGGTCAAAAGCATGGCTACAGTACGCCAGACGTCCTGAGCTCCTAGGAAAGACAGCCAAGGAGCTCTATGAGGGGTATCGCCTGTGTAGTGAGCATTTCACAGCCAAGGACTTTTTGGATCCTGGGAAGACAAGGCTGACCAAAACGGCTATCCCTACGGTTCGGCCGCAAATGCTTAGGCCATCTGTAACAGCCCAAGGTAACATAATCTTTATTTGCAGTCTGTACGGAGTTCTGTTATATTTTGCTTTTAGGCAGCACCAACTCTACGTCACTGATGCCAGCTGCCAGCATGCTGTCAACGATGCTAGACAGTCTCAAAAGTTTTAATCTGATTTAATTAGTTTTTATTATTAGTTTGTGCTTAAATATTTTATCTAATTCATTTAGCATTTTTGTACATTATCCCTGTAATGTCCCTGCGCATACTGTTGCCCATAACCAATATCCGTCCCAGTTTGTTGGAAAATTGTTTTAAAGCACAAGGTCAGCTGCATTGAAATACAGTAATTTGTGTCCTGCAATCAAGAAGGGCAGTTCTGCCAGTGCAGTATGACTTCTTACAGGGCATCCTAGGTTTGTAGCATACAATAGTGATATAAATGAAAGATAAGGCAGGTCAACATTCCCCTGTTCATATCCAATTCGACAAGAGGACTCATGCCGTCTGAGTCATCTTCCTGACACTCATGTTTACAAGGTTAGCTTTAGTTGCCCATGCTGTTATGTTCTCATACATTAGCATACCGGGCCGTTAAAATTTAAGATATTCCGAGATTCCTAAGTGCCTTTTCAAGACCCGCCGGATCCTGTGTTTCGCCATTGATTAATATTGCTCAACATTAATTTTCATCACTAAGGGATTTCAATGCCCTTTCAGAGTGCTGAATATTTTCTGTTCCTTTGAAAGGTAACACTACTAACCTATCATTCGCCCGTAGCAGGAATTCTCCATCAGAAGCTTTATAAGCAGGTATTCATATCTGAGAAGCCAAAATGTTTCAGAAGAACCGGTGGCAACAACATGCCCCTGTGACGTTCCATTGGAGGGAAACAGAATGTCGCATCCCACATCAGCTTATGGTGAGATTATTTATTTTTAATTGGCGGCTCATATCTGACAAGGAAGCCCTTTTCAGAAAAGCCAATAGCGGAACCAAGCCCCGGGGATGTTCGATTGGAGGGCAGCAGAATGTCGCCTTCAACAGCTGCTCATGGTGAGATCATTTATTTTAAAACAGGGGCTCATACCTGACAAGCAAACATCTTTCAGAAGGACCGATGGTGGCACCAAGCCCCGGGAATGTTCCATTGGAGGGTAGTGGAACGTCACCTTTGGCACCTGCTCATAGTGAGATCATTTCTTTTAAAACTGCTGCTCATATCTGACAAGCAACCGTTTTTCAGAACAACCGCTGGCGGTACCAAGCCCCGGTAATGTTCCCTTGGAGGGCAGTGGAATGTCACCTTCAACAGCTGCTCGTGGTGCGATCATTTATTTTTAAAACAGGGGCTCATACCTGACAAGCAAATGTCGTTCAGAAGGGCCGATGGCGGCACCAAGCCCAGGGTGTGTTCCAATGGAAAGCAGCGGAACGTCACCTTTGGCAGCTGTTCATGGTGAGATCATTTCTTTTAAAACAGCTGCTCATAGCTGACAACCAAACAATTGTCAGAAGAACCGGTGGCGACATGTCCCTGTGACGTTCCATTGGAGGGAAGCAGAACGTCGGATCCCACAGCAGCTTCTGGTGAGATTATTTATTTTAAATGAGCGGCTCATATCTGACAAGGAAGCCCTTTTTAGAAAAGCCGATGGCGGAACCAAGCCCCGGGGATGTTCGAATGGAAGGCAGTGGAACGTCACCTTCGGCAGCTGCTCATGGTGAGATCATTTCTTTTAAAACAGCTGCTCATATCTGACAAGCAACCGTTTTTCAGAACAACCGATGGCGACAAGCCCCTGTGGTATTTCACTGGAGGGTACCAGCGCGTCACATTCCATAGCGGCCTGTGGTAAAATAAATCTCCTACACAAATTGGGTTTATGCAAACATACGTATTTAACAGTGACACATTTTCCAGAGCAAATGGGGATGGCCAGCTCTCCTGGCCAGCTTTTGGACCACAGCACTCCATCTTCGTCTGTTGGCTATTATGAATCATCTGGAACCTGTGAGTATAAATTGACTTCTCTACAGATTTAAGCACTGCAAAATTGTGTTAAGTACCTCTGCATTTAGTATGCACATTGCTTCAAATTAGGTGACATTATTTGTCACTTCATTTTTGTGCTGGCCTTAATAACTTGGAACATCACTACAGGGCTCTAGGTGACGGGGAACATAAGCTTTGAAGTGTGGCACCGTGAAATGCTCTGAAAAGGGGTGGTTTCCTAGTAATCTGTGCTTACTGTAGTAATTTGCCAATCCTGTTACATACAGTTCTCATTTTGGATGACCCTGTTGAATGTAGTGATTGACTACGCGATTATTCAATATTTGAAAGATTCATCAATTTATGTTAATACAGTTTTTGTGGTGAAATTATTGCAGCTGAAAGACTAAAAGCTAGTTTAATTTTTTTTTTTCTGATAGCAGCCATTTGTGTATAAACAGTGGTAACAGAACATGCGGAGCAAATGCCCACTCACAATTTGGAGATAATCATGAAAAACGCAGAGATATATGCTTCTTATGCCCGAAAGCAAAATTGCAGAACAGCCAAAGGTTGGGGGGAAGGGGGGTCACCACTTTGGAGGCCCGTGCACGTGTCGAGCTTCACCTTTTACATTGGTGTGCTTGGAGAAGCAGCTGAAGCGGATGAGCATATATGTTAGGTGGGTGGGTTTTTAAGTCTGGAGTTGGACATTGATACGTGCTTTGTTTATTTCGCAAACGTTTCGAAAGTGGCGGGGGGGGGGGGGGGGGGGGGGAAGGGGGCACATATTGCAGCATGGGTAAGTGGTCGGTATTTGGCGGTATCGTTTCTGTCGGGTTCTACTTTTATCATTTTTGTGTAGCCTGACTTATGTGCTTTCGGTATTGTTTTGGCAGGCTCTGGTCGTTCAACACCTGCTTCCGCCAAGCTCTCAAGGAGGCCCAAGGACGTCATAAAACGCCTAGAAGCAAAGGTTTCCAGTTACAGAAAGACAATATCAAGACTGCGCAAGCAACAGAAGCAAATGCCTCAAACAGCTGCCGAAGCACTTGAAATGGTGCGTCCGTTTGTGACAGACGAGGTTTTCGGACTTATCTCGTCACATGTAAAATTAGGGCGCAAGGGACGAGGAAAACGGTTTCCACTGTGGCTCAAGAAGTTTGCTTTGCATCTGAACTTTCATGGCCCACAGGCATACCGTTTTCTATCGTTACATTTAACGCTTCCCACTCAGCGTTCACTGCGTAGGTGGCTGTCGAACGTAAAAATGACTCCTGGTATTATACCTGGTGTCATGTCCTCCATCGAATCTCAAACGCGGTCTTGGAATGCACGTGATCGTGTCTGCACGTTGATTTTTGATGAGATTGTTTTGAAGAAGAACTTGACATACGACCCTGCACACGACATTATCCATGGATTTACAGATGACGGTGTTGAACGAACCTCGACCATTGCAGATAGAGCCCTGGTTGTTGTGCTCTCTGGTTCAGCCCCTCGCATACACTGTTGGGCACACTTCAACACCGTCTTCTGTTATCCGGAGCCTCCTGATTTCTCTCATTCGAGAGCTTAAGACTGTTGACTTCACTGTGAAGGCCGTGGTCTGTGATCAGGGGGCTTCAAACGTAAGCTTAGCCAACCAACTTGGTGTATCTGCTGATAAGCCATTTTTTGAAGTCGACAACGAACGTGTTTACTTTATCTTTGATGTTCCGCACCTCATCAAAACAACAAGAAACAATCTCCAAGCCCACAAACTTTGCATTGGGGATGAGGTCATTGAATGGTCCCATATTGTTGAACTTTATCGTTCTACTCATGAGATGAGGTTGCGATTGGCTCCAAAACTTACTGAGAGGCCCATTTTTCAAAAACCTCTCAGGAACATGAAAGTAAAGCGTGCCACACAGGTCCTGAGTGCCTCAGTCTGTCTTGCCATTCTATCCCTTGTTTATGCCAAGGAGCTTCCTGAGGCAGCCATGGCTACAGCCTATTTTTGTGATAGAATGGACAGACTTTTTGATTGTTTAAATAGCTCGCAATTCAAGAAGACGGGGCAGAAGTTGCGTCATGCAATTTTGAAAGGAGAATCTGAGATACTCGATTTCCTTCACCAACAACTCGCATGGATTTCAACATGGAAGTTCCAAAGTAGGAGGCAGCCACAAACCACCATAGGGTGGCAAGTTACAATAAGGAGTGTCCTCATGCTCTGGGATGAGCTTTCAAACAGCTATGACTTTAAATTCTTAGTTACTCGACGCCTGCAGCAAGACCCACTGGAGAACATTTTTGGGGCAATAAGACAAATGCTGGGCTGCAATACAAACCCAAATGTGAATCAGTTCACCTCGGGACTGAAACACATCGGGATAAAAAAACTGCTCAGACTCTCTAACAATGGAAATGTAGAGGATGAAAAGGCTGACCTCCTCAAGGAGTTGCTAATATTTTCGCACCATGAAAGTTCCATTGCAGACAATGTGGAATGTTTTCCAGTTGATAACTTCCCGCCACTAGAAGATATTTCTGAGCTGGCATCAGACATCAGGTCTAATATAATTGACGACTCGTGCACTTACTACGTTGGAGGCTATTTGATCAAACTTTTCCTTGAACAGACAACCCGCAGCTGTGGCTGTTCTAAGCTGCTAAAGGATGAGTCTGACAACTTGACCAGGCCTCACCAGTATTTTCGTATGCTTAAAGCATACCACGTGCCTGGGAAACTCTTCGGAAACCTAGTAGTACCATCACAGGCTGCCTTTAACTTTATTCAGAAACTAGAAAATCACTTTCTTGCCGTAATAGAGAGTGTAGCGCATGTTCGAGGAGTGTGTGCTGCCTTGTATCACACACTCTCAGAGCTGGGTGGCTTCAGCCTTTGCTCAGAGGAGTGTCACAAAAGGTTTTTAAAAATTTTTTGCCGAATACGCTTGTGTTGGCATGTTCGGTTCCTTAACCGGAACTTGGACAAAGTTCGGTTACACTTTTCGGTTGCTAGTAAGCAACTTGATAAGTTTAACTGTTAATAGCTTAATAGCGTATTAACAGAGGCGGTTGCCAAATCAAAAACAGAAATTGCTTAATAATTGGGCAGTGTAGCTTGCACTCCAAACATGTGTTTTCTTTATTTCCAGGAAATGTGTATCACGGCCCCCTTACACAAATATTTATCCACTTTCTGCAGAATTTCTATAGAAAATAGTTTATAGAGGCATAGATGTTTGGAAGAAAATGTGTCCACTTCTGTACCCGTCTATATTTTTTGGACGTTTTTTTTTCTGAAGTAATACTCCTGTCCTGAACAAATGTATTTCGGGGAATGTTTAGGGACGTTGAATCATGGTTGAATATCTATGGTTGAATCTTGTCAGATTCCGAATAGAGTTCTCATTGTTTTTTTTTTTTGTTTTTTTTGTAATGGCTCACCCGCAGCGAGTTTCAGGCTATGCCATTTCGTGTGTTTTATATTAGCCGGTAATTTGGAATTTGTACTATCCGGTGTGTGCTTCGCCTGGTAATGATAGCGATGTCTTGTTTATTTCTGCACTTACTTACCGTGCCCGAGTCGGCGTGAAGGTGAATGGATCATTCAGCATGTTCCCTGTGGAAAGCTTTTGTAAACTTGACTCCGCTAAAAATCTATTACGAAGTGTACGATATGCCGAACTCCTTCATACTCATTTATTTTTGTGATTATCTATTTCTTATAAAACATACAGAGCTTCTGAAGTAAATAATGTACATATGAATGTGGTCCAATAAAATGTTTTCAAACCACTTACTGTTGTTGACCCCAAAACCTCCCAAAATGCTCCACCAGCCAGGAGTCAATGTGGCGATTATGTACTTCAATGTGTTCAATAAGTTGAACTTTTATTCGACACATTACACATTTTGCAAAACTTATATCGTATATTGCAGAACTTATAACATAAAAACAACAACAAAAAAAAGAATCATCGGCTCCGGAGCCAAGGAGCTCCCGAGAGCCTAGCGAGGAGGGAGGCGAGAAGGAAAGAAAGAGAGAAAAAGAGGAGAAGGGTACCAAAAAACCGAAACAAAAATGCCCAAACCGAAACCGAAACATACTTGACCGGAACCGGAACCAGATTGTGTTTCATACCGTCCGCTAAGAGCGCTAGTTGTCACTGCTCTATCTGGGCCGCTGGGGCCTATGGCACTGTCCACTCTTTACCTTGTGTATATTATTCTATGCTACGCGTAGTGATGGGACGAATCACCTGAGATTCGGATTCGGACAGATTCGGAAATTTCCGAACTTCTCGCGACGAATATTCGGCAGATTCGGAGATTCGTCCGATTCGTCCCTGATTGAAGACGGCAGCGTGAACCTTGTCGCAAAGCTCGCGGACGCGGTCAGTTGTGTTTCTTTTTAGGTACTGTTACTGCATATAACCAGATTTCGTCTTGTTTATTTCAACGTATGGTATGTACTGTACTGTCATTCTAAACCCTGGCACACGCCCAGATCCAACTGAGCTGATCGGTGTGGTTGACGTAGGCCTAACCAATGCACGGTTTCGGTTTCTGTGCGGATTCGCGGTGATCGGTAAAATGTAGCGAAATACTGCATATTATACATAATGTGGCGCAACGCACAATAAATGTATTTAGGCAAGGAAATGATTCGTCTCCTTCTCTAGAGCTGCGTATGTCAGTACCTTGTCACACTTCGACCGCGTACCGGCACCGGTGGCGAAGGAAAACGCTAATTCGCGCTGTCGTTTCTCCGTTCTCGGCAGCAAGATTTGTGGACGTGAACTTTATTTGATGAAAAAGAAACAACACAAGGGTGTCTAACGGTGAAACAAACACTAACTAAATCGGATATCATTAACCAGAAAGGTACAAATGCAGTACAGGAAGCTGTAATAGTACGGCGCAAGGAGTTTCAGGAATCTGGTTGTTTCCCTTGTTCCGATAACAATACCTCAGTGGACACACGTTGAAGATAATCTAATCGGAACATACTCACTTTTGTGGTGTGTGCCACTATAACCGTAATTATGGACATGAA